AAAAACTTATGTTATTTCCAACCAATAGCTAAATTCATCAGCAAAGTTAGAACACTTCCTCAGTAAAGGTGAATTTCACATCTATGAGGAAGGTTGTGTCACTTTTAGTGACGATATTTTTATTTTCGGCAATAATTTATAACATTACTAACTGTCCTAAGCAAACCGTCAGAAATAATCATTGTTTGTGACGCCCAAAAAAAATGGCATATGTGTCATAACGTTTTTGCGACGTAAAAACATTTACTCGGTAAAGAATTGTTTGGTATAGTTTTATTTGCAAGGATTTTAGTAACTTCTCAATAAAATCATTATTTTTTCGACGGTGATAATATGGTTGTCAATAAAAGATGGTTGGAACAAACGCACACTACATGTAGCTGCCCGACCCATCTTAATGACCACATATTTTCCATCGTTAATGAATAGTTGGTTTGAAAAACTTGCGGGAAAAAAACAATATTAGTGAGCAAACTTGTAATCGTCAATAATATTGAAAAAAATCGTCAAAAGTCAAACATTACTGACGAATTATGATGTCGTGGGGAATATGTTTTTGAAATGTACCCTTTTTACCCTTCGGTTGCTTTTTACGAATGTGAAAATGGATTTGTTGGAAATAATTGGTCAGAAATATTGTTTTCGGAAACAGTAGCTTAGTGAATTTCATAATGGAAAACAACTTTATTTGCAAGGATTTTAGTAACTTCTCAATAAAATCATTAATTTTTCGACGGTGATAAAATGGTTGTCAATAAAAGATGGTTGGAACAAACGCACACTACATCTAGCTGCCCGACCCATCTTAATGACCACATATTTTCCATCGTTAATGAATAGTTGGTTTGAAAAACTTGCGGGAAAAAAACAATATTAGTGAGCAAACTTGTAATCGTCAATAATATTGAAAAAAATCGTCAAAAGTTAAACATTACTGACGAATTATGATGTCGTAGGAAACATGTTTTTGAAATGTACCCTTTTTACCCTTCGGTTACTTTTTACGAATGTGAAAATAGATTTGTTGGAAAACAACTTTAAAAAATAAGTCATTGATGAAACTCAAACCCAGGGCCACGTGTTTGCAAAGGAGCTTGCTAACCAGTTACACTACACACAATTTATGTACATTTTTTAATTTTGTATCTAATTATCGTGTAACAGAAGCATAACTGCAGAGAACTCTCTGTCTTCTGCAGATCAGTTCAATGTTCTTCCTCCCTTGCAATAAACGAAGGCTGGTTCTTCCCCTGCAGACCATTTAATTCCGAAATTAAAGGAAAAGGGAACGATACAATGGCATCAAAACTGGTTCAATGGATGGAGTATGTTCATCCGATCAGTTTCTCTTAATTGCGGCAAAAGGGTTAAAGGGGAAGAAGAAATCAATCCACCATGACCCAAATTCGCCATAAACCACTATAAAATCCCAGTAAGAACAAGCGGATTATGATTATGTAATTTTCCCAATCTGAAAGAGTAAAGAAAACGATTCGGAGTTGCGTTTTCCACTGCCAAATTTCACCGCCGATTGAGAATCTGGAACGACGCGAGGAAGGGGAGGTCCGGCGATCGGCGCGACTGCGGTTTGAGGAGGGAAGGTAAGCAGTTCCTCCGCTCTTCAAAACGACCACGTCTTTGGTTTTTTTTTTTATGAATCTGCGTAATTATTTTTTTCCAGCTTAACTTTATTATTTTTTTGGTGTCTATATTGTATTTAGTTGTACGCAGCAGTAGCACTTTACTTTTTTTTCCCCAAACGTTATTATCTTTATTAATTTATTAATTTATTGTGTAAAGGAAGACTATTAATTTAGTATTTGTTTGAATGTGATTACACGGATTAAAGTGGAAGTAGTTAAGTTTCCTAGTTGTACATCGATTAAAATTATATTGAATGTAATTAAAAATTTGTTTCTTTTTTTTATATATGAAAGCTTAGTGAAGGTATAAACATTTGATTTAATTTTGATTATTTTTATTTCTACATCGACAATTTAGTTTTCCTTAATAATTAAGTTAGTTTTACTTTTTTGTAATATTGTCTAATAACATAAATTTCCTACATATATCTATAGGTATGGAACCTATCGACAAAGCTTGGATACAATTGAAGAATCGGGCATGCACACAGTACATTGCGGGAGTGGAGAAATTCGCGAAGTATGCAACAGACCATGTTAAAGACGATGATGGTCTAATAAGGTGTCCTTGCGTGGAATGTGGTAATGTGCGTAGAATGACAGTGAACCAGGTAGAAGGACATCTTCTTTATAAAGGAATGAGAACCGACTACACTAAATGGATTTACCATGGTGAGGTCGACGAAGATGAAGAAGATGACGATGAAGGTCCAGAATTGGGTGATGATAACATTGAAATAGACAATGGAGATGATGGCGATATGGGTGAAGATAACGATATGGGCGAAGATGATATGCTTGGTGTTTTGAACGACCTCATGGCTCCATTAGCGAATCCGGAAGAACCTAATGCCCAAGCTCAAAATTTGTACAAACTTTTCGGAGAGGCCCAATCACCGTTGTACGAGGGATGTGCTTCGAATGTGTCAAGATTGTCATTTGTCACAAACCTTATGAAAATCAAGTGGGAGAATAACTGGAGCAACAATTCATTTACCCAGTTGGTCAAGTATATCCGGGTTGTATTTCCTATGGCGCAATCACTTCCGAAGAATTACTATGAAGCAAAGAAGCTTATGAAAGCTCTTGGGCTACACTACGAAGAAATAGATGCATGTGAGGACGATTGCGTCCTATACTACGCCGAGCTGGCAGATGCGACATCTTGCCCCACGTGCAAAAAATCAAGGTGGAAGAAAGTTTATAAGGATAAGAAGGGCAGAGATAAGAAAATTCCGTGCAAAATTATACGGTATTTTCCCATCAAACCCCGGCTACAAAGATTATTCATGTCGTCAAAAAATGCTGAAGATATGGTATGGCATGCTCTAAATCGCTCGAAAGATGGGATCATGAGGCACCCATGTGACGGAGAGGGTTGGACTGCTTTGGACGAGTTTGACCCATCTTTTGGTTCTGAACCCCGCAACGTTCGTTTGGGACTAGCGACTGATGGTTTCAACCCATTCGGCAATATGAACAACAAGCACAGCACGTGGCCGGTCCTTCTATTCCCGTATAATCTTCCTCCTTGGAAGTGCATGAAGAATCCTTTCACCTTCCTGACATTGCTCATTCCTGGCCCAAAAGCTCCGGGTAATAGTATTGATGTTTTTTTGAGACCTGTTATTGATGATTTGAAGGCTTTGTGGAATGAAGGCTTGTTAACTTATGATGCATTCAAGAAGGAGAACTTCATCATGAGAGCTGCATTGTTGTGGACCATCAACGATTTTCCGGCTTACGCTAATCTTTCTGGATGGAGTACGAAAGGTAAATTAGCTTGTCCATCGTGTGCAGGGGAAACAGCGCATTTGAGGTTGACGAATGGGCATAAGGAGTGCTATATGGATCATCGTCGGTTTTTGCCTTTGGATCATAAGTGGCGCAACCAAAGGAAGCAATTTAACGGTAGAGTAGAGAAGAGGCCCAGACCAAGGCAATTGTCATCACTCGAGGTATCAAATCAGATCCACTCATTCGATCAAATTGTGTTTGGGATCAAAGGAAAGGGTAAAAAGATCGATGGATTTGGTAAAGAACATAATTGGAAAAAAATTTCCATTTTCTTTGAATTGCCATATTGGAGTTCACTTAAGTTACGCCACAATTTAGATGTCATGCATATTGAGAAGAACGTGTGTGACAGTGTTTTGGGTACAATGATGAGTATTGAAGGCAAAACCAAGGATAGTCTAAATGCCCGCAAAGATTTGCAGGAGATGGGATTGAGAAAGGAATTACATCCTGTAGAGAGGAACGGGAGAACAGTGTTACCTCGAGCTTTATATAGCTTGCTGCCAGCGCAGAGAAGGGAATTCTGCGAGTGGATATCAAAGTTAAAGGTTCCAGATGGTTATTCTGCCTATTTGAGAAATTGTGTGAATGTTCAGGAAGGGAAGATTTCAGGAATGAAAACTCATAATTGTCATATCATGTTGGAAAGATTAATACCTCTTGCAGCTAGGGACTTCTTTCCGAAGGCTATAGCGGACCCCTTAATTGAGTTTGGCAATTTCTTCAAGAATATATGTTCGAAGGAGCTAAGTTTGAAAGAGTTATCAGCCATGGATTCTGAAATCGCCATAACCCTCTATAAGTTGGAACGTGTATTTCCCCCGGCATTCTTCGATATCATGATTCATTTGGCCATCCATCTACCTTGGGAAGCAAAAATTGCTGGACCCGTCCAATATCGTTGGATGTATCCAGTGGAAAGGTATGAATTTCATTATATTTAATAATTTATTGTTTTTTCGTTTTTACTAATTCTTGAAACATGTCCAATTTTTTTTTTTCTTTTTCTTTTTTACTAATTCTTGAAACATGTCTAAAAATTTATTGTTTTTGAAGTGTTACGTTGTCCGATGAAGAGGATTAATTATTAATATTTCCTACTTTTTTAACTAGGTATTTGAAGAAATTGAAAGGTTGGGTTCGAAACAAGGCAAGACCAGAAGGATCTATTGCTGAAGCATACGTGATTGATGAGTGCATTACATTTTGCTCGCAATACATGACGGATGTGGAAACTCGATTTAATCGTCCTGAAAGAAATGATGATAGTATTCCGGAGGGAACCGTTCACCCACATAATTTGTCAATTTTGCCACGTGTCGGTCGTTTTATTGGTACATTCGTCATGAAGGACTTTAATGATGATTTGTTCAAGGCTGCAACATTTTATGTCTTGCAAAACTGTGACGAAGTCGAGGATTTTAGGAGGTACGTACAATTTATACTTCTTCAATACTGTGTGTATTGCTACAATTAATAATCATTATTTTAAGAATTTGCATATGTATGTATACTATATGTAGACAACATAAGGAATTTTTGGCTGGACGCAGTGTGCGAATGGTTGAGAGGGTGCACATGGAAGAATTCCAAAAGTGGTTCGCTATTCAGGTAATTAACTATTTTGACACGTAAATTTTGAAGTGTTGTCGTATTATGATATTCGTGTACAAGCCAACAAAAAAAATTGCTTCATGATGCAGGTGGCCAAAATGATTGATGACAATGTTGCAACTTTGCATCCCTCTATGTTGACTTTGTCTCGAGAGCCGGACAATGGAATTCCTCAGATTGTCGAGGATACATTGAAGAGGCTAGGAGTTAATTTGGCAGAGTCCTCAATGGTAAGTGTTTGTTGCTGTTTTTTTAGTTTGTTGAGCATGATTAATCGTATGAACCTTATCATAATCTATTTAACTTTGTAAATTAGGCTGGAGATAAGGTGGTGAATGATGAAGATGAATATGAAAATGGAGACGAGGAAGTGAATGATGAAGATGCGGATGGTATTGACGATGAGAACAGCTCCCCCTGATGATGATGATTACTAAGTTTGCAGCACTTGGAAGAAAGCAGCAGTAGGAACTTTGCAAGTTCCAATTTTCAATCGAAAGTTTGCAGCTAGGAAGAAGGCAGTCTTAGGAACTTTGCAAGTTCCATTTTTCAATCGGATTATGTTTATGTTTTGTTTTGTTAAGTGTTTGGTTGTTTTGTTTTATGTTTGAACAAGTGTTTGGTTGTTTGGTTTTATGTTTGAACAAGTGTTGAATGTGGTCTCCTTTTAAGACAGTTTTGGTGGTTAGGCCACCTAATTTTATGGAGAATTTTCATTTTTTGCTAATATATTGCATTGGTTAATTTCTTTTATGCTTTTAATAAATTACCTGCAAAATAAAATTTATTATTATTATTTCTCAGTTTTCATCACTAATAATATATAGTAAATATATTTACAAAATCGGAAAAAAATGTAGTTCTAACGATGTAATTTGGTTACAGTAACACTAAATTCGGTTACAATTGTCGAGTTGCTTCCCACGAATATTTAGTGTTGCAAGTATTCTATTTGTAATGCAACAAAATGGTTAGCTTTAGTAAGTCATTTCTGATGAATAATTTGGGTTACAAATTTTCTTTTTTAACACAACAAGTTGTTTATATTTAATATGTTTCTTTCGACGAATATTTTATGTTAAAAATATTCTTTTTTAATACAAAAATTTGGTTAGATTTAATGTGTTTCTTTCGACGAATATTTTATGTTAAAAATATTCTTTTTTAACACAACAATTTGGTTAGATTTAATATGTTTATGCCGACGTATATTTTGTGTGACAAATATCTTATTTTTAACGCAACAATCTGGTTACATGAACACAAAAGTTGGTCTAAATTAATTAGTTTCTTCCTACGAAACTTTTGCATCACAAATATTCGATAGTTTATTCTGACCTTATTTTCTCGTTGGAAACTAAATTTACAATTATTAGGAATAGTTCTTAGTGTCGCAAGATATTCATTATAAATACCACAGGGGTAATTTAGGAACATAATTAACCCTCGCAAAAAATGTTCTTTTACGACAAACAACTGTGGTCAAAACAATCAAAGGGTATTTTCGGAAAAAAATATCATTTTTTACTAACGAATTTTTTATTTACTAACAAACACAGTTTCCTCAATTATAGTTTATATAACAAAATGTACTCCTCACAAAAAATATTTTATCCCTTAAAAATATATTTGGTCAAACAATTTCGTTAAGTAAATTTCTTTTCTGATCACGATATTTTGCATAATGACAAAAAATAATTGTCACAAATGTATGATTTTCTGACGCAAATACATTTAAACTATTAGCGAGGTACCTTTACCCCACGATCCACCAACGACCGTATTTCGTCAAAATAACCCTATTGTGACGAGAAAAGGCCTTTTGTGACGCCAATTGACTGGTAACATCAGCTAGTCTTTTTTGTAGTGAAAACAAAATTTTGGAGTTCCGTTGATTACTTCAGCATCTACGAATGAGCGAGGGCTTAAGGACCACAATGACTTCCTCGTACAAGAGTTGTTAGAGGTTTTGACCAATACTTCGTCAGGTGGCAGATGGGTTAAAAATATATAGTAAGCAAGCTGGATTTGCTCATCATCGTATTCCATAGCGGTAGGTAGCTTAAACTTCCAAACAACCTGGAATAGGGGCCACAAATAAACACGAGTTGAAATGCATTCGTTATGACGGAATAACGGCAAAGAACACTTCAATGGCAAACATGACACCTTTATTACCTTGTCAACAGAAGGTAGACAAATACTTTTTCCATTTGGCTTCTTTGGTGTGACCTCAGAGTCAGATTCATCGTCCGAAATAAAAACGATTACTGAAGCAGGAGTGGGTGGAGTGCTTACACCTTTGGGTATCCTTGGTTTCTTTGTTGGAGTCACAAATTCGGCTGTCTCCTACAATGACAGTGAACCTGCGATTAATAAATTAACTAGAATGAATTTCAATGGTAAAAAGAGCTATTATACATACCACAAGCTTGGACGAAGAGCGAGTAATTCTCCTATTTTCCATGTTGTGCCTCTAATCTAAGCGCTTTACTCTGTACTCAAAACCGCGGCAAAGAAGGATATGGAACCACTACTCTACCGATGAAGGTTAATTATATATACAAGGCTAGGATAAATTGTGGCGCCATATTTTTCCCGCGGAAAAATAGTTAGGTTTTAGTCTAAGGTACATGAACTTGGGATAAACATGGGTAGTTATTAAACCTAAAATTAAAAATATACTTTTTTCGATTGAATAAAGAATTGAGTGCTATTAGTAAATATTGGCTCATATTAATATTTGATCCTTCCCCATACACGTAGTACACAGCTAGAGTCAGCTCGCGTTTGGCTTTACTAAGAAAGGTTTTTCATTTTAAATATTTTCGTTATTTGTGAAAATGGTAAAGAAATCACTAAGATAAAGAACAGAAAGTTCAACTCATTCCTACAAAAAATATAAGATATCACAAATCGTGTTATTAATGAGGATAATTATTAAGTGGCCCATTGAAGCATTAATTCGGCCATCATTCCCAGTAGGGTTTTGTAATCTACGTCCTTGGTTCCCCAAAATTTCCAGCCGTGACGTCGGAGGCAGACTCACCATTGACGTCGGAGGAAGTCCAAGAAAACGCTGGTGCCGGAGCCAGTCACACCACCCAGGAAGATAATGTCGCCGATCTCATATTTCGACAGCCTGAAGATATTAAAAAAATGAAGTTCGATGATACAGAAGAAGCCTATGATTTCTACATGGACTACGGGTTAGTCAAAGGCTTCGACATCAGAAAATCAGACATTGGTCGTGATAAGAACAAAGTTATGATATGGCGTGACTATGTATGCTCTGGCGAGGGAAAGAGGCGCATGAAGAGCACAGAACGAAAGAGAGAAGCAAGAGGGGAGACCAGATTTAACTGCAGAGCCAACATGCGTGTTAAACAAGACAATGTCGATGGGAAGTGTTATGTGCACCAGTTTGATGATGTACACACACATGAAACGATCCCCAGAGAATATAGACACTACATGAAAGGGAAACGTCGTATGAGTGATGCAGTCAAAGCAGCGATAAATTTTAGAAGAGCTGCAGGTATGAAAACTTCTCAAATTGTGAATCTTGCCGTATCAGAAGCAGGAGGCTACGACAATTTGGGGTACACGAGGAAGGATGCATATAATTATGTGGACAAAGAGAGGAAAGAACAAATCAGTGAAGGTGATGCCGCAACAGCCCTAGCCTACCTGCAAGCTAAATGCAGCGCGGACGAGCATTTCGTTATTGAACTAAAGAAGGATGACGACGACCGGCTTATTAACATTTTCTGGGCCGATAGTATTTCTGTTGCTGATTATGCATGCTTTGGAGAATTACTGTCATTTGATGCTACTTACAAAAGGAACATTTACCAGATGCCTCTCGTGATTTTTTCAGGTACTTTTCCTTCACACATAGAATTATCCCGAGCATGCTAAAATAACCCTAGAAGTTTGCATAATCTAACTTTGTTTGAAATTTTTTAGGTGTCAACCACCATTCGCAAACTTGCGTATTTGCATGTGCTTTCTTGGCTAACGAGAGAGAGGAAAATTATATTTGGGTGTTGGGAGCTTTGAAGAGAAGGCTAGGCGGTGTAGATCCCAAGACTGTTATTACAGATGGGGATAGAGCAATGCGTAATGCTATTCAGAAAGTATTTCCCGATGCAACACATCGTCTATGTTCCTGGCATATAGACAAGACTATAACCAGAAATGTGAAGAGTCATCCTACTTTTTTGCCCCGATGGAAGCATTTTGTGTCAGCTGACTGGGAACCTTCAGAATTCGAAGAAAAGTGGAAATCAGTGGTTGAGGAATGCTCCCTTCAGCACAACAATTGGGTCTCCAATTTATTTGAGCAAAGACATGAATGGGGGTATGCATATTTGCATTCGAAGTTCTTCGCAGGCTTGAGTACAACATCAAGATGTGAAGGACTGAACTCTCAACTTGCCAATTATATCGAGAAGGATAAAAATCTCCTTGAGTTCTTTATTCACTTTGATCGTTGGACTAGGGATATGAGGGAGAATGAGCGTCATGCTGATTTTGAATCCATTCATCGAGAACGAACCATCACAAGCAATGTCTTAGTCTCACTTCAGAAGAGTGGAGCGGCGGTTTTCACAAAGAACGCATTCTTCTTATTCAGAGACGAGGTTGAAAAGTCGGCATGTTGCATAAGGTTGGTGACAGAGCGATCGGAAATTGAGCATGTGTACAAGATCAAGGTGTCTGGCATGGATAAGGTTTTTCAAGGCACGTACGCAGTTGTACCCTTTGCAATGGAATGTAGTTGTAATCACTACAATTATATGGGAATACCATGTCGTCATATGATTTTTGTACTGAAAGAAGAGAGCATACTGGAACTTCCTGAAGGCCTAGTACGTCGAAGATGGTCAAAGAAGCCGAAGACACTAGAGAGCTTGGAGGAACCGGGCAGACTAGATGAATCGCAACTTTTCGCATTGAGGTTTGCCATGACTATCACTTTACATTTTTTTTTTTAATATTGGTTCGAAGCTAGGTGAACATTAAGTTTACTCACTTTGTATAAAATCTTGTGTCAATCAGGTATGGTACTATTCAACAACACAGCTTACAACTAATGTTAAAAGGGGCAAAATCTAGTGAGTGCTTCAAGATTGCTCGTGAGGGAATTCAATCATTATGTGAAAAGTTGGACATGGTGGACACAAGCAACGTGGAAATACCCGGCATTAATAGACCGAAGACGAATGAAATTTTGTTGGATCCATTACAAGTCAAAGCTAAAGGTTCGGGGGCTAAAAAATCTAAAAGGAAGAAAGGAGAACAACGACAGTGTAGCAATTGCGGTTAATGGCGCCACTATAGGACCCGATGCCCACATCCTGTTGGCTATGTGAAGCTGACTCGCTAAAACACAACTCCTAACAATGGCCAAGTGTAACCAATGAAAGGGACTGCAGTATAGTGGCTCAAGTAATAAATATCGAATCCACGGGTCTCTAGAGTTACTATTACTCAGCTTCAGTTCATTATCTAGCAAAACAGATTAAGATGAAAGAACTAAAACTACTCTAGCAAACTACAGTTAAAGTTAATCTAATTACAGGTTGGGAACTCACTT